AAGTCCCCTGAATAGGTATAGGTAAGTGATATGTAGAAAGCAGCTGGAAATAGAAGAATGGAACCCAGGTGAGACATCATGTTTGAAAATATTTGAGTGTTATCATTTAAATCATAGCCGTTTGAGTATTCCGATCACTATAAAGGTGTGTTTTTACGTGGAGGAGAACATTTGGGGAAATATCCAGTAAGAAGGTAGCTTAGATCAGGGGTCCCTAACCCCTGGGCCACAGATTGTTAGGTCCGTGGCCTATTAGGAACCAGGCCGCACAGCTAGAGGTGAATTGCAGGCAAGCGAGCTTCTGTCTATATTTGCAGCTGCTCCCCAGCACTAGCATCGCCCCCTCAGCTCCACCTCAGATCATCGAGCATTAGATTCTCATAGGAGCACCGGTCCCTGGTGCCAAAAGGTTGGGGACCGCTGGCTTAGATAATGGGTACACAGCATCTGGTTACTGGTTAGACACAACTCCTATTATTAACTAAAAATATTAACTTACTGGTTCAAGTCATTTTCACAATACTTCTCCTACAACTAGACCACTCCAATTCATTCTGGTGGATGCTCTGGAATGTAAACTAACTTGAAATTAAAATAACTATAGAATCTTTCTTAAGGTATTTAAAGTTAGGAATAGAAGTAAGAACTACTACTAAGTGCTATGGGAAAATACCAAGATCGCCTCATCCCATAAATAAAAACATATTTCCAGGGTGTTAAAGAGCTAAATGGAAATGTTTAATTATATAAAAAAGGAAAAAATATGTTTCTATGGACAGTGAGGATGTTCTAAGATCAAAAGCAATTAAAAATTAGGAAGGTAAAGTCCAATTAATTTGAATTATTAAAAAATTAGAAAAGAAAGAAAAAATACAAAGTTGGGGACTATTTCAATAAATGTGACAAAGCAAGAATGAATAATAAGCCTTAATATATAAGGGATTCACACTAGTTCACAAGAAAATTATTACTATTTCAATTAAATGAGTAAAGTAAAAATACGCCTTTAAAAAAGAACTATAAATAACCTTAACATGTTTTAATTATGAAAACAGCAAAGAAATATTTTAAAATTACAGACCACTTTCCCTTAAAAAGTAATTTTTTTAAAGGTAACCCTTAGGGCTGGGAG